AAGCATAAGGTGTTTTAATAACAAGCAGGGACCCACCTACAACTCTGATTTATGTTTATGACTCAGCAAAGAACATAAAATGAGACTAGGGCACAGAGCATTTCCGCAAGCAGTTAAAAACCAGCCATTCACCAGAAAAAAAACGAGTAGTAGTAGCCTCCTGTGTGTAAAGAAGAGAGCGTTTGGGGGTTGCAGATGTTCTTTAAGTAAAGGGGTCACTCAAGATTTGTCGCCTAGATCTGTAGCATTTCCAGAAGTGCTCTCACAGATGGAGACCCAGCACAGTGCTGTTGGTGTCGTTGTCCATTTGAACTGCCGTTAGCTGAGCCCACCCTACAGAAGCGCACCCGTTGTCAGTGGGCCAACTGGATGGCAGGGGAAAAAGCCATGAGGGGAAAAAAAAGGCATAGCAAATCTGAATTTGGCTGAATTTGATGCTTGTATTTGACTTGAGCTAAGTGCACTGATTATGTCCCCGATTGGCTGCAAGGAAAGGTGCAGCCTTGTTGTGCTCACAGATGGTGACAGCAAAGCCCAGGTTATGGAGCCCTGGTCCTTTCCACACTGTTGGTACCTGCAGGCAGTCTGAGCCACAACTCAACATCCGTTTGCTGGCTGTTGGATTTCCAGCTGAAGGATGCAAAGTATTTTCTATGCCAATTTGATTGACGGGTTTATCTTCCAGTCCATTTACTTACTTAATTATCCCACAGTGAGCAAGGAGTCATTTCTTATAAATATGGTAATAAACCGATCAGGATCACAACAGAAACATGTTCTTATACAGTTTGTGGAAAAAGTCGACTTTCCCAATTTTCAGCACGTATCATGCTTCCCCTATCAGCAAGCAGTAAATTAAGAAACAATATCTGGTGCTATTGTTACCAGATATCTGGTGATAGCTGAAAACCTTCAGGGACAGTGACCCTACCACCTCCCTGGGCAGCCTGTACCAATGCATCACCACTCTTTCAGAGTTTTCCTAATATCTGACTTAGAAATCCTACAAAGATACGTCCTCTGTCCTTTGTCTTTGTGCTTTAGGGATACTGGAAAGGAGTGAAGCTGATGCTTGCTTTAATTTCTGAGTTGTTTCTGGGATGTCAAAGCCTTTCACTTGACAACTCTGGTTGCTGCCTGAAGAAGAGAGAGACCACTGGTGTCTGAGGCCTGATTCATTGATGAGGGAGATCTTCTGGAGATGATTTGAGGACTATATTTCATAGATGCAGTTTTTCAATGGCAGAAGTAATACCCTCCCGTTTTAAAAGGTTGAAGCAAGTGTCCTTTGCCTGTGCCTATGCAGTGACACTGCTAATGGGGACAACAGCACTGGGGGGGGACGTGAGGTAGCCTGTCCTCCAGAAGCTCCTGTGATACATTTTATTGCACCATCCTTTCATTTTTACCGTTTTCATTTTTTTCTCTTGAATCTCTGGGAAGATTGAATTCCCAGAGTTTGTCTGCTTAGCACCTGCTCTTTGATCGTTCCTTGTTCCAAAATAACAAAATAGATGTGATCAAGGCAGGGAGAGAAATGCATGCATTCCTTAGGCATTCATTTATGCCAAGACTCTGCAAAACCCATACGAGAGTCTGGATTTGGAGTTTATTTAAATTAACCACAGTAATTACCTTTATCAAAAGCCTCCTATAGTGATTGTCCAGCTAGAAAATAATGGACATTTCAGAAATAGGAGTATTTCAATAGCCTCTTTGAAGACATTCAGGAGCATCATGTAAAACACAATGGGCACCAGAGGAAATAACTCTGCTGGGAGGTCTCGGACAGATGCCGAGTTCTGTTGATTCCCTCATTTTTCAAGGCTGGAGGCTTCTGCATGTGAATGAGTCCTTTGTTTTTCCAAGGATTCTGATACAGAAATGTATCTGCTGCAACAACCGCTTATTTCCTATCCTGGAAACAAAAGCTCTGATAGCAAAGACCATTTTGCTCCCATGGTCAACATGATGCCTTGAAGAGTAAAGAGGAAGATGACAGACAGCCTCCCCAAAGACAAAGCTCTCTGGTGTGCAAAACCTCGGAGCTGAAATGGGTGAGAACAAAAGTTCTCACTGCATGCAGCAAGGTCAGCTGCCAGCAGAGCACAAGGAGAAGAGAAGCTGTGATGTATTCCTTTTCTTGTCCTTACGTCTGGCGAAGATCTTAAGCAAACCGGCTATGCTCTTTTGAAATTCCATTACAATGTTTCCTATGCTTAATTGGAAGGCTTATTGTCTTAGACATGTCTTTAGCTAATTCATCGCACTCAATTGCATGGATTAATCTCTCCAGACCTTGTTAGCTGCTCCCTGTTAAGCACCAGATGCCTGTCTGTCACACCTGCCTCTTATGGATCCTTTAAGACAAAATAAGATTCTTCCTAATTCCATTCCCTGGTACTTTTAGTTGCCTCCTGATCCAGATGGCACCATGCAATATACGTTTATCTTGTATGTTTTCCTTTGATTTCTGAAATTCAGAAACGTTTGTTCTTTTTCTTCTTTTCAATAGGAATATAAATAATTCAATTGATGATTCAGTTGGGTTTTTCTCTCAAAGAGCCCAGGACTATCTGGCAGATGGATTGATCTGTCATTCTGTTGTGACCATTTATGTGACATCTCAGAGGTTCATCAGTTTCCAAAGACTTTGGAAGTTCAGAAGCTATATTGCTTCGATGTTGATTTAAATAATCTTCAGAGCAGCTGGAGTTAATTCCCAGCATCCTTGTGCTAACGAACTCTGAATAAAATGCTATTATCTATGGGGAAAAAGGAAATTAATATGTTCGTAAAATAATGGTCTTATTACTACTTATCTTGTTACACTCCGGTGTGGTTCTCCTTATTAAGCCACCTGCACTCTGAGAGGTTTATAGACAAAAGCAGCGTTATTAATTAATACAGCCGTGCAAGCTTTCTGTGGGCAATTACAATATTTTATTGTTGTGGCTACTATTATTATTACCAGACGGGCTGTTTGGGAGTCTTGAAAACATGCTGTCATTTTCCTATTGCATTGGTTATTCTGCAGTACCTTTCATCAGCTTACAAATGCAGCTGTTTCTGCTCAATTTTGGATGGAAATCAAGAACGCACGAAACCTACGAGCACGTTATCGTAGCCTCAGATCAGCATTGCTTAAGTTATACAAGGAATGAGATGGATGTCAGATGTAGGTGCTACCTATCCACTGCAGATGTAGATGTGATTTGCTTGAACATGACTCCTCAGCCAGTGGGACAGGGTAGGAGCATCTTATGGCTGCTGTAACTCAGTGCTGGATGCCCTGACAATTGTTCTAATGAACCTGCAAGTCTCTGATACAGAGAGTTGTTGTTCTGGTTGAAAAAGGCTTGGGGAAAAAAAATGAATTCATTCTTGAAGGACGTTTTATTGCTTGCCATAGGGACAGTATCAGTCTTCTGGTCTGTTTGCAGTGCAGCTGTCCTTACTGTCCTTGTAAGAGGCCACAAAATTGTAGGCATCAGTACAAATCTGCTCTGATGCAAGCTTTCACATACAGTGCTGCAGTCCCTGCACCTTCCCTGGCATTTATGTGGGTGTGAAAGAGTTTTGTCATCCCTGAAGTTGCAGTGAAATCCATAAAACTGTACAGGAAAAGATAAAGGATCTCAAACATTAATTTGCAAGGAGTCCTGGTCTGTCCAGCAGCTCCTTATGGGGGTGCATGTGGCACATCAGTCACCACTCTGATGCTTTTCCTGTTTGACCACCAGCTTGTGGGAGAGGGGAGAGGAGATCAGGGCAAGGCACCCCACACCAAAACAGGATATCTGAGAACTGGGGGCATCTGAGAACTCTTTCTAATATTTTTTTTCTTTGTTTCCTCTTTGCACACTGTGCACACTCCCTGTATGCAGTAAAGATGCAAAGAGTAGAGGCGAAATCTCTCTCTCCAGACATGGATATTTGGGTTCTGGCAAGAGGCCCCGGGTTTGATTTGGGACTTTGGGACTCAGAGGAGAAAGGGTGAATTTTCTGTCCTCTCTGAGATTGTGGCTCTGTGCTCACAACAATTTGACCTCATATCTTTCTAAATCCCAAGTGTTGCCTGAGGGCTGTTCTTTATTGTTGTTATTTCTATTGATTTGTTTTTTCCTTTTTGCTTTTGAGCAAAGCTGTTTATGGCCAAATAAGCTCCAGCCTCACCAGAACCACCACAAAACAGTTCCTGCAGTGTTTCAGGCTGGAAAAGCTCCCAACTTCAGCCACCTGCCCAATCTGATAGTGGTGATGAGCACAGCAAGCGAAGGGGTGTCATGTCATGCAGGTTAAAGGTGCAGCAAGGAAGGTGTGTACTGGGGGAGGTGATTTGTTTTTTTCCTGCTTCAGGATCTCTGGTTGTTGCTCTGAAATCCTCCCTTCCAAGGCACATTTGCAGGTTGTATCCCTTTTTATTATCCTGTAGAGGTGGATCCATTCACCTCCTGGACCCAGGGGCGAAAGCCCAGGCTGAGAAGTGCTGGATGAAAGCAGAGTAGAAGCCCTTTCTCTAGAGGAGTTTGCCACCTACTGATTCCCAGGTTCCCGTTAGCTCCTGCCCGGAGAAATGGAGGGGCCGTGTGGGGGGAGCCAGGAACTTGGGGGTAGGTGGGGATTGCCCTTAGAGACCTCAACCAGGGCCTTGGGAAAGAGCCGGCTCAGGGGGAGCCCAGCTGTTGAGCTCCGACTCATCGGAGATGGCAAAGGAGCGCGGTGGCAGCGCATGGTGTGCATGCGTGCGTGTGTGTGTGTGACGGGGGAGGGATGTGGATGAGGAGCGGGCTCTCTTTCTTTCTCACAGAGCTCAGTTAATCCTGCTATCAGGCGCTGGTAAGCAGCAGTCTCAGCGCTGGATTCCGAGAGAAGGAGACGCGTAATTCAGAAGGCGCAGCAGAGGGGAGGCGAGAGTGGCAGCTAAAGAGAGCAGAGCGGGGGAAAAATCAAATCTATGCTCGGAACTGGGCTTCTTTTTCGCCAATGCAAAAGGGAATATGCAGCACATTTTTGCCTTCTTCTGCACCAGTTTCCTAGGGGTGGTGTTAGGGGCCAATTTCCCCAACAATATCCAGATAGGTGAGTGTGGAGCTCGGGGCCGGTTGGGAGCGATGTTCCCCGGCAAGCAGTGGGTTGGAGTGGGGCCGTGGGGAAGCACTGACCCGTCAGTCTGCTTGCAGAGGGGAAAATGTGCGTGTGTGAGGTGTGGGGAGCAGCATGTGCTGGATTTTCGTGTTGATATGAGCTTTGCGAGAGCAGAGATGTATTAATTTTTCTTTGGGGGAGGGGAGGATTGAGAATAAATGCTTGTACACCCCAGCACAGAGAGAGAAAAGTGCCTCTGAAATGGAGGAAGCATGAAAAAAAGATTATTCGTTTCTTGCTTTGTGAAATATCTGGGCTGCCATTGTGCGTTGCTGCATTTGCAACATCAGCGGTTGCATTATACATTTTTGTGAGGATGCTCTCATCTGTGGGTAACTGGGACGAGAGGTAACAAACAGGCGCTCTCTGTTGTTGTTGCTAAAGAATAAGGGCAGAGCTATTGGAGGAAGATTTTGCGCTGGAGTCTCTTTTCATTTCATGCTACTTGCTTCCCCTGTGTGCCAGCGCTGCCTGTTTGATTCCTTTCTCCCTTCCTGCAACTTCTCAGCGCTCCTCTCCCTCCCTGCCCCGGGTTTATTATTACTCTCCCATTGATCTTTGTTGACGATGATTTGTAACCCAAATTCCCTTCCCTTGCATGCCGGTTTCCTTTTGCACCTCCCTTCTCCTTACAGTGCCAATCAACCGCTAATCCACCAAGTTCAGTCAACTCCTGTTTTAGCCTTGCTGCACAATCGCTGCTTTTACTGCTGTTGATGCTGCATCCCTGCCTTCCTCCCTTCCTGCCTCCCTTATACCCCAAATACACGCAGCATCCCAGATTCTCTCCCTTCCAGCAAACACAGATGATAGCCTAACTCGGCTACTAGCATCCAATTCCTCTGACACCCATGATTAGGCAGGAGAAGGGGGGCATGCGGGGGAGTGGGGGATATTCGTGCGCAAATAGCCCGCTCCACACACCTAGGAGATGCCCTCCATACAGAAGATGAGCGAGCAAGCAGGTCTCTGCATATTTGCTTCTTCCCAAAACCACCTGCCCTGGGGGGTGAGCGGAGGGGAGCGGGGGTGGGAATTGATGCTCCCTGCTTCTCTGTTTCAATTCAGTCTGCTTTTCAAGTGCTTTGTTTCCCTCCCTCTATCATGCAAATAGCAGTACTCCCCGTTCATGCGTGTAGATAGCAAGGCGGTCCGAATGTATCAGCACCCTCCTGGAGACTGCGAAGGCATCTGCCGCAAGTCAAGTCTCCTTCTGGGGGAGCAGCGGGAAACTTTTCCCAGAGCTGGGTTATCCCGGGTCCATTCGGGGAGGCGAGCTCTGAGCTGGGTCTAGCCTGGTCCCAGTTTCCGTCTAATTTATGTTGTCCCGTGGTTCTGGGCTCTTTTGCACATGTGTTTGAATGGATATTTCTCAGGATCAGGCTTTCGATTTCTTGCCCAGTCTGAGTTTGGCCTCTGTCACCTGTTAAATGTAGGGGTTTTCCGTGCTTCACACTTCCAGCAGCAACAGCAGGTGTGTACCGTGAGCCCTGCTTGCTCCGGCTCTTACAGATCTGTCCCCTTGTGCCCAGCGTGGGGCAGGGCTTGGCGGGGCTGTCCTGCGCCCCTCAGGGAGCAAGCCTGGAGAGCAAGATTCAAATTGGGCCTCACTGTGAGTGGAGCAAGAGGACGGAATACTCAGATTCCTCTTTTATAGCACTGGCAGTGCTTCTGTTTCTATTCCTTAAAGTTATGGGAGGGGTGAGGAGGTTGAAAGCCAAACCCTGAGCTTCAGCCTGACCCTGGGGGCTGCTGGGCTCAGGGTGCATCAGGGCTCCTGTATGTCCAGGCACTGCATAATGGGAAGGTTTTCTGCTCCCAGCCTGCCTGCAGCAGGCATGGACCCCTTGTGTCAGGTGTGCTGGAGGATTTGGAGCTGCAGTGGCATCTCTGGAAACTCCTCTGCAGGAATATTTCAGACCAGAAGGGCTGCTAATACAGGTGTGCTTAAGACTTCTTGTTTTGTTTTTCTCTCCAGGGGGGTTATTTCCTAATCAACAATCCCAGGAACATGCGGCTTTTAGGTTTGCACTGTCTCAGCTCACGGAACCCCCTAAGCTCCTTCCCCAGATCGACATTGTGAACATCAGCGACAGCTTTGAGATGACATACACCTGTAAGTAGCGGTGTTTGCCGGGCTTTCACTTACTTTGCTTTTTCATTTACTCCTGACTGTTCATGTCTGTACGTGGAACAGGGAGCATCTTGCTAAAAATGTGCAATTCTCCCTCAGGGTCCAAGTCAGAAAACCCCAAATGCACAGGATTTCTGAATGGTTTTGGGGTGTGCTAGGACACAGGGTTGAGGTAGCGCTGCAGTTATTCAGCGTGCCTTGCATTTTCTTTTAGTGCTTCCCAAGCAGTACTGAACCCTTCACAATTCATTTCCTTGTGTTTCTCTAACCTCTGCCCGATTCCTCGCTGAGGTTTCATTCCCATCTTCCCTATAGTTCTGCTGTACAACAAAGGTACCCCTTCCCACCCACGGAGTGCACCAAACTGTATGTTTAGTGTGAACCACATCCTCTTCAGTCCCAGTTTAGCCATCTGTCCTTGCAATTTAATAAAGGCTGAGCAGAAAACCACACCTTGATGCAAGTGGAGTCCAGATCTGCTATAAGAGGAATGCCCACAGGGACAGAGAGCTAAGAGAGTTCCATTTTCAAGTACCAGTGAAATTCTTTCCCTTCATAGTCTGTTGGATTGACATTGGCTCACGTCTGTTGGAGCCTTTAGATTCACTGATTCCTCTTTGCAGATCGCTCGTGGAGAGTGGGATGGATGTGGACAAAAGCTGTCATCTGTGCTAAGAAATACACAGAAAGATAAATCTGCTTTTCTGCAGAGAGCATCCAAGAATGTAGAGAAAGAGAATTCATAAGGCTCTAAAGAAAAATAAGTTGTTTTTTTTCTTGTTGGAGGGTTTACAAATACAAGATTGTAGGAATTTCTTGGCCAGTAAGGCACAGAAGAGAGAAGCAATAATTTGGCTCTGCTTTCCCTGGGCTATCTAATGACATATCTAAAGATTTTCTATTCTCCTTAATATCCCTTTATTTGCTATCTACAAGATTTCCATCAAGAAAGAGCAGCTATATCAGCTCGGTCCAATGGCAATTCCTTGGCAGGAGAACTAGAAAAATAGGGAAGAATAAAAGGCCGTATCTGTCAAGGGAAAATGTCACCCACCTGGGGTAGAGTTGCTGACTGTGGCCGGGGATGAGCTATTTCAGTGCTGATAGCAGGGAGAAAGCAGACACTGCAAGAATATCGCTAGAATAAATTCTCCATCTGCGTGTAGTTGTCCCTCCCTCTCTATGCCTGCCTGAAATGATTTTGTTTACAGCATTAGCAATGATAGCAAGGCCACGATACCAGTTCTGCTTAAAATGTCTGTCATTAGTACCACAGGGGTGGAGGTGGTCTCACAAAAGCTGAATGGAAGCAAGACAGCCTCCCAAAGGATGTTATATTTGAGCTCTATGTAGGGCACATTGTCCTAGATCAGACCAGCAAAGCTCTCTGCACAGTCCAACTTCACTTGTCCTCGTTTTTCTTTTTCTTCTTCTTTTTTTTTTTTTTTTTTTTTAATTAAAAACTTCCTAAGTCCTTCAAGACTATGGAAAGCAGCATTTGTTTTGTAAGCACAAAAGGTGTTAGTCCATGTACTCTTGGGGTAAACAAAACAACAGCAGGACATGTTGAGAGAGACTCTGCTGCTAAAACTTTTGCCAGGAATTATCTCCTTCCTCATCTTCCAGCAATTTCCCTCCCCAGTTGCCAAGACTGGAGATCAGAGGGAAGATCTGTTTATTTACAGTGAATAAAACCCTGCCCACACACAGGTCCTTATCATCTGAGAGAGGGCTGGCCATGCTGCCAGTTAAAATACAGTTTTTGTTCCCATGGAGATAGAGAACACAGCATTTCTCTGCTGTTGGAATCCCCTCTTTCCCTGATGGCTTTGGTTGAGTGTGTTTGGACCCTGCAGATAGAGTTTTACCCCTATGGGAGCTCTAGCAGGAAGGACACCTGGTAAGGTCCCAGCCCCGTGGCACGTCCTGCCTTCCCATAGGAGCCATCCCTGTGTCCTACACACAGTCCTTATGGCAAGTGCCTGAAGCAATATAGGGAATATATAAAGAATCAGCAATGATGGCAGAAGCAAAAGGCTTGTTGGGCAGCTTGTGGGGCAACGACGAAGTGGCAGTTTGAACTGCAGCAAAATGACAGCACTTTGTCTAAGGAGATCGTATGCAAACTGTATCTCGGTATCAAGTGTGACACTGTCTACCTCTGCCTGACACAGATCTGCTTGCTTGTTAGGCTGGGTGAGCTTTGGTGTGACAGGGAGAGAATTTGCAGTATGAGATGCTCCCATCTGCACACAGGTGACAGTAATAGGGAAACGTTAACGATGTGCGAGTGATGATCATAAATTGGTAACAGCAATACCCAGAGAAGTGATACGTCTGTGCAGTGTCAGGAGGATGCTGTTGTTGCTGTGCTATTGCTATGACAGCCCAACCACTTCGGGTTTTCTGATGCCTCCAGTTGTGGTCGTCTTGTTGTTACACAGGGATTGTGAATGCCTCCTCTTGGGTTGGAGTCAGCCTGAGGTTTCTGTGGTCCCTGTGCACAATACGTCAGCAAATTATGATTTTAATTGTAAATATTAAGAAAACAGAGAAGTAGTAGATAGAACATGTGGTGACCTCATATTTCAGATGTGGTTGATGCTAATGTTATTAGCTCTGAGACATGGGCATGTTTCAATAGCTGAAATATCATCCTGAATTCACCTCTGTCCCATAGAATATATGGCAAGGAGCAGGCTCTGTGCTTGCAACTCAGCTTATGGTGTGGCTTAGTGATCTCTGACATGCAGTGAGAATGCACAACTGCTGCTATGAGCATTCTTAACCAAAGACATTGTGTCGTTTCTTTGAAGACTATCACAATTGCTTAGGAAGAAGGTGAACTTACAGCCCTTTCTTTGGCAGAAGTACATAGCAATGCTAGCTGTCTCTAAGGGGGAAAATGATGGGGTGGTGTGAGTGAAAGGTTTGCACAGCGATGTAACAGAGCAAAACCATTCTGATCAGCTTTAAAATGGGTTCTTTGACTTCAGCCATTTTTGGAAAAGTGTGCTATGACCTCAGCAGGTCTCCAGCAAACCATCTTGCTTGGCTTTCCTGAGACTGGCTGTGCTCAGGGCAGCCCCAGTGCAGCAGCAGATATGCTGCGGGTTGGAGCTGAGAGAAGAGGGGTGCTTTGTGCTGGATGCATGGGCACGAGACTGAAGCATAGGATAGAGCTGTAAATACTTGCTTCTGTGGGGTCTGTGGTGGACAGCAGCACCATATGCTCTTGGCAACAAGGGAATACAGGGCTACAGAAACGTGCAGCACTGGGAAATTTTCTTTTATTGTTTGTCTCAGCCTCCATTCATGCACGTGTAATGTACATCCCATCCACTGTGCACAGTGCAGCTCCCTGGGGGATACAAGTTGTTTCAGCTTCAGCTCCTTGGCTTGATTCAGTTTGCGGTGCAGAAACTGTGCTTTCAGCCTTTGGCAGCGGTTCTTGGGTGAGCACAGTCAGCGATGCTCATTCCAGGTGGGTCACTAACCTGGTAAATCCATCCCTGCAACACTCATGCCACTTCGCAATGATGAGCCGCTACCGAAACCCCCTGTTCTGTAGTGAGCCCCATAAATTTGGTAGGGAACTGATCAGCTTTTGTGCACACCGGGTGCTGGGCTGCTGAGATGGGATGGTCAGGAGTTGCACACTCAGAGCAGAGAGGTCTGCAAAGAAGCATGGTAGGATTTTTCAGGTGCATGAAAACCTGCAAAGCGGCTATTGCACTATTATCCCTCTCCCTCCTTGTGTTCATAGCTGTAAGCAATGAGAGGTCTTCATGCTGAGGAGGGTCTGTGGGGTGCTGCTAGCATGTCAGCAGTTGAATCCATTCTGTGTACTAGAAAATGGATGTGCAGATGGGAGCCTGTTCATATTTTAGAAAAGAAAGCCTTCCAGCAGCAATTACAAAGGGATTTGCAATGATCACTTGCTCTGTTCTAATGTTCTTATCAATAGCAGCAAGCTTAGATCCAGATCAGCTACGAAATGAAGTATTTATTTTTGTTCTTCTTCTTGGGCACTTACGTATATAGATACAGTATTTCTGGAGATTGCTTTTTATCTCCTAAATTACCTCTCAGAGACAGGGAGGAATAGGCAAACATTTGAATGTTCTCAAACGAGGAACTAAATTTGGCTTAATTAAACAATTATTGCATGTTTAATTTAAAGGAATCTACTTTGTTGACAAACATACAGTGGCCGCTATTTCTTGGAAAGGTATTGCTGTAATTATTCCAGCAGTAATCAATTAAAATGCTATTTTTATAATTAAACTTCTGCAATCTAAGTAAGCCCAGCCCCGTAATAGCATGTAATTGATGTGGTGTTGGCATTTATTTTTGCAATATCAGAAATCCCATGTAAATGCTTTGGGATTTTTTTCCCCTGTAGATCCCAGCATGACTACTTAAAGTGAGCAAAGCCAACAGAAACCTGGATTTAGTGATCAGACACAACCTGACTGATATAAAATAGGCACTACATAGGAATATATCTCCTTAGATTTTGCAATGGAAAAAGGGCTGATGAATCAGCGCATCGATTCGCATTAGATCAAACTGAGGTTAAGGGTGCTCAGCTGCTGGCAGGGATGGGCTGTAGCTTGCTGTTAATTGCATGTTTGTCTGGTGAGATGCTCCCACCCTGCCGTAAGATCCAGCCACAACGAGGGTGCTGATGGGCATCTCTGGCAAGCGTGAAAGCCATGAGGTGTGGAGAGGGGCAGCCAAGGAATGAGTGGGTCCTGGGCGTGCTCCGATGGGCTCTGGGTGCTCAGCAGTGGCAGCCACCTCTGAGGAAGGTGGGAAATCATCCCATGTGCTCTTCTCAATGTTTAAAACATGAGCACCAAGCCATTTCCTTATGTCTGGCTGCCAGGGCATGGCAGGCTGTCTGTCTGCCTTCACAGATCTGGGCACAGAGAGACCTGGGTGAACGTGGGCTGAGATCGTGTGTAGGGACGCTGATG